AGCTGGTTGTTTATGGTGCGAATTAGGGCTCAACTGTTGAAAATTGTTTGCTGAGATTTGGTGCGTTTAACGGAGGTTGGCAGAGGGACTGTCACCGTCGTGGGACTGTCACCGGCTTAAGTGTCACTGGCGGTGGCGAGGTTTGGCAGAGAGCTTGGGTTTGTACTGGGCGTGAGCTTTGAGAGAGAGGTATATTTTTATCTTCTACTTTTAGTTAATTATAACTAGTACTATTACATAAAAAATCCAGATAAAAAAAGTAGAATGTAAATAATTTGGGGGTTTGGCGGGTTTCACGAAAATTTAGGGGGGGAAATAATTAAGAGGGATTAATAACCTTTCGTATTGATTTTTTTCCCAGATCCGTTGCAATAGATTCGTCTATAGGAACGGTTACAAGAAACGTTGCAAAAAAAAAAAGCTATGGGAACGATTTCTACACAAGGGCAACGTTTTTATGACTGAAGTGTACCGAATGTACCTATGACTTATTGGAACGGTTAAAACCGTTGCCATAAGGGCTCTATAGCAACAGTTTATGAACCGTTGCAAAAAATTCGTTCCCATAGGCCCATTTTCTGGTAGTGTGAGAATCTAGCTACTCATGCTTAAAACAGAAAAAATAGAAGAGGATATGATAATTAAACCCATATTAATAATTAAAATGATGAAATCAGTATTCAAAAAGCTCAAAATAGAAAAAGCTACTAAAGAGAGTAAAGAAAAACGTCTAATGTGGCTGCTGTGTCAAAACTTGACCCAAAAAAGCGAAACTCTTCTATTTATACAGAGCTGGAATTTTCAAATAAAAATATCCTTTCGGAGGTTCTGTGGCCGCACAATTCCATGTGTGTCCGCACTTTGCTTCATCCTGATAGGATTGGAATCTTGCGGCCGCACAATTTTGAACCGCGGCCGTATCTCTCTCTTTCTGCGGTCCGCACATTTCTGAGTGCGGCTGCACATGGCTGTTTGGCGGACCACACAAATGTAATTGCAACGCGTAGCTAATCTCCTATAAGTTATTCTGTAAAATCTACGGCTGCAGGTGATATTCTACGGTCCGTACTTTAAGCTTCTGTGTCTATTTTTGTCCTTGAGTTCAGATCACTCCTTCATGAGTTGGATTTCATCTTGGAGGTTCATTTTTCAATATTCCTGCAATTAAGCATATTTCACCAGTTTTCGAGAATACAATTAAACGCTTTTGGACTAAAACTAAAGCTAAAAGGCGCTAATAAGTAGTCAAAATTCCTACATATCAACTCCTCGAAACTTATGATTTTTCTTGTCCTCAAGCAAATAAGGTAATTTCCACCTTCACAAGTTAAGAGCTATTCCAGCTAATCAAAGATGTATCAACCACACATATATTGGGACCAACAATTACCCACAACACTTATGAATTACCAACAAGGCAATGATTTGAACTTTTAGGCACAAATAGTTCTAATGTGACACTTGAGCGTCAAGAGTTGACTTTATTAATCAAGGAATCTCTCTCTTACACGTAGTTCATTGTGGATCCCAAACTCCTCCTCCTCTACTCTCCGTTAGCGTATCTCACTTAAGAATGTAGCACTCAATTCAATGGTTTGTGAAAGGTTCACTCATTTCTCTCAAAAAAATGTCGCAAGCACGACTCTAAGTACCATAGGCTTGCCCCTCATGTAGATCACCACTAATGTAAGTTCACTCTGCTTGAAATCACGTAGGGCTTTTTCAGAATGCAATGAAGGCTTTTGGGCTAAGGTTGGATGTGTTGTAATAGAACAGATTCATCTTTTCTTAAGCACTCCATTTTCTCTTATCGGCTCATGGTTTGCCAACTCTTTGAGGCATTTTCTTTTCCTTATGGGAACTAGAGAGACTTAACATCACTCTTTCTTGGTCATGATATTCATTTTCTCCTTTGTTTTCTCCATGCTTTGCATCGTTACTTTTCTTTGAATCCCTTCAACTCTTCAACTTATTCACTTTCTTTTTGCATTTTTTTCTTTTTGTTCTTTCTTTCTCTTTCTTGCCTTTCCTTTTCTTCATTTCTTTACTCTTTTTGTGCCTTGATACCTTTTTCAAACTCCCCGTCTCTCCCCTAAACTTATGTTTTAGCCAATTGCTTCTCAAGAGTGTTAAGGAAAGCTCGGGTGCCAAGAGAGAGTCACTGCAAAACGGGTAAAGGCTTGTAACACATTTATCAAAGGAGAAACATTTTAGGCTCAATTGGGTTGACTAGGGATAACAACATTGGTGGGACATGGAAAATTTCAAGCGGGTCGAGGAGGGCCTACAATCAGTTCTCAAGCCAGGCAAAACATAAAATTTCGCCTAGAAACAGATTCAGGGCAAGTTCTAGACCATTCGCACGGGTACTTGAACTTGCAACAAAAACATCTTACCTCTCACACAACTGGTTTGTTAAACATGATAGAGTCGAGAGCCCACAACGACCATATTCAAGATTGAAAATCACTAATGGTTCGACTAAACCTCGATGATTACTTAAGTCAGCAAAAGAGTCAGAAGGTCACTAACTAGAGCTATTGCTTTCCAAGAACTTGTTCTTAATCATAAGCACGTAGTTAAGTATGTTGGTACCAAGCAAAGCATGTTTGACTCCTCGAGTCTGAGTCAATTAGGTTTTTTTATTCATAATTACTATTATTCTTCCCTAAACATCAAAAATAGACTCAATCCCTTAAGAAGGTTGTCACGCCATCCATTGTTGGAAAGAGTCACTCAGTTCACACAAAAACTACCTTTGGAAAGAACAACGACATTAAGAAAACCAAAGACTTATTGTCCGCTTAAACATAAAAAGAAACTACCAGATTAAAAAGAAGCTATTAGATTGAACAAGAAGCTACTGAATTAAACATTGACTAATAAGAAAACATAATAAATAAGCTACAAAGCAAGCCACTGAAAGCATAAATTAATATACATAATAAGAGAGGAAAAGAGAAAATATATACATCAATAGAGAGGGAGAGAAGAATATATACATAATAAAAAGAAAAAGGAAAATGTTATCAGTTATTACAAACCAAATGTCAAATCATCCAAATATCAAATAAACTCCACCCCTCCCTCCCCCCCCCCCCGACCCCGANCCAAACAGTCAAATCATCCAAATATCAATAAACTCCACCCCTCCCTTCTTACCCCCTCCCCCCCCCCGAATAAAATAAGAATTGTCCCCGATGCTTAACAAAATAAAAATAAGAAAGGGTAAGAGTAAAGAGGACTCCTAATGGGGATATTTTTTTTCACCATTATAATTTTCTGAAGTAGTAACTAGACTAAAAGTGCAAACTACTGTCTTTTTTCTCTTGGCGCACGTTAGGTGCTAACTAACCTGCGCCTCGCCAGAAATGGGAGGAAGAGGACGACCCAGGAAGAATGCTAGCAAAACTCTACTGGTAGAAAGGAAATTAACTGATCTTAGCACAAGGGAGCAAGGAAAACAATCATCAAAAGCTAAAGGGAAAATGTAGGAGGACGAAGATCTGGATCTAGAAAGTGATGATGAGCTGAATTGGCCAGATCTGAACAATACAAGAGCAAGCTTGACAACGCCGGTAAAGCCAATCACCATTGCGATGCCGATGATGAATACTGGAGCTAAAGGAACACATGCAAAAATGAGCTTAACTGGGCATGCGAGTACGAGCAGGCCACCAAGCAATGGAAAATTAAAAATTGATGAACCAAAAGAGCAGACCGGAGCTTCAACTGGAAGTGAGAAGAGCGTGCAAGAGCTGAAAGCACCACAGAATGGAAATGGGGAAAGGTCGTGGGCTGGGCTACTCAGTGAGAACAAACTTGCCGCCAAAGGTATGAACCTATCATATATCCCACCGGTGATACAGGATGGTGAAGTAGTTGTTCAATTGCTGGAAGAAGACATTGCTGAGGAACAACATAAGTGGAACCGAGCTCTAATCCTCTATATGGTAGGAAACACCCCAACAATTGGGGCGATTGAGCGATTCATAGCAAACCAGTGGAGTAAAGTCAGAACACCAAAGGTACCGTTCCACAACGACGGGTATTCCATAGTTTTGATGAACAATTGTGAAGAAAGAGATGAAGTAATTTTGAATGGACCATATACTATGAATAGTAGACCAATTATCATGTGACCATAGAAGGAGGGATTTGACTTTAGTGAGGAGATACTCAAAACCATCCCACTATGGGTAAAGTTCCCAACACTACCACTTAGCTACTGGAGTAATCAAGCACTAAGTAAAATAGGGAGTGGCTTAGGAAAGCCTCTCTATGCTGGTGCATGTACTACCATGGCAGATAGAGTCTCGTATGCAAGGATGTTAATAGAAATGGACATTACTAGACCCTTACCAGGATCAATAAATCTTCATGATCCTAAAGGAAAGGTGATTGAGCAGATAGTACAATATGATTGGAAGCCCTAGTATTGCCAATTATGCTGTCAAATTGGACACTCATGTAATGATAAACAGAGACAGAACAAAGAGGAGGGACAACAGAGAGGCAATAATCAAAAGCTAAAGAAAGAGTGGAGAATAATAAGGGTCCTTGATCCTAAGGTGGACAAAATTGATGCTCATGGAAGGTATCTGGAACAAATTGAACCAGATGGAGAAGCTGTGCCTAGGCAACAAGGAAAAGAGGAAGAATGGCAGGTTGCTAGAGGAAAATCCATCGATGAAGGAAATGGAAATCAACAGAGAGGAGGAAGTATACATTGGAAATGCTTTTAAAGCCTTAGTTGACACAGCCCAAAAAATTGTGCAGATGTCTGAAGCACAGGGGACAAGGGGACAGAGAAGAAGAAATGAAGGTGATAGGGATCTCAACATAAATACTTTAGCATGATGAATATTATAACATGGAATATTAGGGGTATGAATAAAGTCTATAAGCAAAAAGCACTAAAAAATTTCTGTAGGGAGAATAAAGTAGTACTAATAGCTATACTGGAGAATAGAGTGAAGGCTAACAAAGCTGAAGCAATAATGAGGAAGGTGTTTGGTAGTTGGCAATGGACTGCAAACTATGATGAGGCACCTGGTGGCAGGATTTGGATTATTTGGGACCAAACAAAGGTGGAGTTTGAGGTAAAACAAATCCATGAACAATACATAGCAGGACAGGTGGTTCTGAGGCAGTGCACCACTAAGTTCATATCTGTTGCAGTATATGGAAAACATAGCATACAAGACAGGAAGAGTTTGTTGACTGATTTGGAGAGAACTATGAGTGGAATACAAGACCCAAGCTTAATAATGGGAGACTTTAACAGCATCTTGTCCATAGAAAATAGAGTGATGGGGAATCCAGTCCAAGAGGGGGAAGTGATAGATTTCAGAAAATTCATAGCTGATGTTGGACTAGCTGAACTCAAAACAATTTGGAGAAATTACACATGGACAAACAACCATGTCCATAGTAGAATCGACAGAATACTTGCTAATGTAGAGTGGGTACAAAAGTGGCCTAATATGGAGGGAACTATTATGCAGCCAGGTTTCTCAGATCACTGCCCACTAATGGTAACAGTTGCTGAACCTACTGAGAGGGGAAAAAGACCATTCAAATTATTTAATTGCTTAGCATCCAACCATAAATTTGATGACATTGTTAGGGAATGTTGGATGAAGGGAAATAAAGGGAATCCAATGCTGAAGGTGTGGTACAAGCTAAAACAACTGAAAAAAGAGCTAAAGCAATTAAACAATGAGGAGTACACCAGTGTGGGGCCAAAGATCCAAGCAGCAAGGAACAAGTTGATGAACATACAAATGGGAATGGCATCTCCGGAAACTGATGATGAAATGATAACATTAGAGAAGGAGACAAAAGTTGAACTGGCAAAATGGCTGGAAGTGGAGGAAAGCATTATGAAGCAGAAGGCAAGAATCAAATGGCTAAAAGTAGGGGACTCTAACACAACCTACTTCCATGCTTGTGTAAAAAAACAGGTAGGCAAGAAACCACATAGGCAGACTGATGGATAACACAGGAAAGCTTCTACAAAGTGCTAAGGAGGTAGAAGAGGAGATTCTAAGCTTTTACAAAAAACTACTTGGTACAACAGCCCCAACACTACCAATAGTTGATCCAAATGTGATGCAGAATGGACACACTTTGAACATACAGCAACAAATGCAGCTAATCAGACCAATTACAAAAGAGGAAGTGCAAAAAGCATTATAGGGCATTGATGATAGCAAGGCACCAGGATGTGATGGATATAACTCCCATTTTTTCAAGAAGACATGGAACAT